ACACACCTGGGAACTCACCTGGGCGGGTGAGACACGGCTAGGGGGGGAAAACACACACCTGGGAACTCACCTGGGCGGGTGAGACACGGCTAGGGGGGGAAAACACACACCTGGGAACTCACCTGGGCAGGTGAGACACACCTGGGGGGTGAGACACACACCCGGGCAGGTAAACACACCTGGAGGGGTAAAACACACACCTGGGCAGGTAAACACACACCTGGGGGGAAAAGACACACCTGGGGGGGAAAACACACACCTGGGCAGGTAAACACACATCTGGGCAGGTAAATACACAGGTGGGGGGGAAAACACACACCTGGGCAGGTAAAACACACACCTGGGGGGGTGAACACACACCTGGGGGGGTAAAACACACACCTGGGGGGGAAAACACACACCTGGGCAGGTAAATACACAGGTGGGGGGGGAAACACACACCTGGGAACTCACCTGGGCAGGTGAGACACACCTGGGGGGGTGAGACACAAACCTGGGCAGGTAAACGCACACCTGGGCAGGTAAACACACACCTGGGCAGGTAAACACACACCTGGGCAGGTAAACACACACCTGGGGGGGGAAAACACACACCTGGGGGGGTAAAACACACACCTGGGCAGGTAAAACAAACACACACCTGGGGGGTAAAACACACACCTGGGCAGGTAAAACACATACCTGGGCAGATAAACACACCTGGGAGGGTGAGACACACACCTGGGCAGGTAAACACACACCTGGAAGGGTGAGACACACCTGGGGGGGGAAACACACACCTGGGGGGGAAAACACACACCTGGGCAGGTAAATACACAGGTGGGGGGGAAAACACACACCTGGGGGAGAAAACACACACCTGGGCAGGTAAACACACACCTGGGGGGGAAAACACACACCTGGGGGGGAAACACATACCTGTGCAGGTGAGACACACCTGGGGGGCTGAGACACACACCTGGGCAGGTAAACACACCTGGGGGGGGTAAAACACACACCTGGGCAGGTAAAACACACACCTGGGCAGGTGAGACACACACCTGGGGGGGTAAACACACACCTGGGCAGGTAAATACACAGGTGGGGGGGGAAACACACACCTGGGCGGGGAAACACACACCTGGGGGGGTGAACACACACCTGGGCAGGAAAACACACACCTGGGCAGATAAACACACCTGGGAGGGTGAGACACACACCTGGGCAGGTAAACACACACCTGGGGGGGGAAACACGCACCTGGGGGGTAAAAACACACACCTGGGCAGGTAAACACACACCTGGGGGGGGAAAACACAAACCTGGGCAGGTAAACACACACCTGGGCAGGTAAATACACACCTGGGAGGGTGAGACACACACCTGGGAGGGTAAACACACACCTGGGGGGGAAATACACACACCTGGGCAGGTAAACACACACCTGGGGGGGAAAATACACACCTGGGCAGGTAAAACACACACCTGGGCAGGTAAACACACACCTGGGCAGGTAAACACACCTGGGAGGGTGAGACACACACCTGGGGGGTAAAACACACACCTGGGCAGGTAAACACACACCTGGGGGGGCTCGTGTCGCACCTGCAGGACAACATCCAGCACACAGACCCACCTGTGCAGGTGAGGCACACCTGGGGGGGTCAGAACTCACCTGCCCAGGTGACCTGACCTCACCTGTCCCTCACCTGTCCCCCCCCCCATCCAGATCCTCTACAACCGCACCATGGTCCAGCTGGGGGTGGGCGGGGCTGCTCGAAACTCACCTGCCCAGGTGACCTGACCTCACCTTTACTGGTCAGTGTGGGGTCACACCTGTCCAGGTGAGCACATGACACACCTGTCCAGGTGAGGCGACCTCACCTGTGCTGCTCAGGGGCGGGTACAACCCGCTTTTACTGGTCAGTGTGGGGTCACACCTGTCCAGGTGAGCACATGACACACCTGTCCAGGTGAGGTGACCTCACCTGTGCTGCTCAGGGGCGGGTACAACCCGCTTTCACTGGTCAGTGTGGGGTCACACCTGTCCAGATGAACACGTGACACACCTGGGCTGGTCAGGGGTGGTCAGAACTCACCTGTCCAGGTGTCCTGACCTCACCTGTCCCCCCCCCAGATCCTCTACAACCGCACCATGGTCCAGCTGGGGGTGGGTGGGACTCACCTGGGCTGGTCAGGGGTGGACAGAACTCACCTGCCCAGGTGACCTGACCTCACCTTTCCTGGTCAGTGTGGGGTCACACCTGTCCAGGTGAACACATGGCACACCTGTCCAGGTAGGGTGACATCACCTGTACTGCTCAGGGGTGGGCAGAACTCACCTTTACTGGTCAGTGTGGGGTCACACCTGTCCAGGTGAACACGTGACACACCTGGGCTGCTCTAAGATGGTCAGAACTCACCTGCCCAGGTGCCCTGACCTCACCTGTCCCCCCCAGATCCTCTACAACCGCACCATGGTCCAACTGGGGGTGGGTGGGACTGCTCAAAACTCACCTGCCCAGGTGACCTGACCTCACCTGTCCCTTACCTGTCCCTCACCTGTCCCCCCCCAGATCCTCTACAACCGCACCATGGTCCAGCTGGGGGTGGGTGGGACTCACCTCTACTGGTCAGTGTGGGGTCACACCTGTCCAGGTGAACACGTGACACACCTGGGCTGCTCCAAGATAGTCAGAACTCACCTGTCCAGGTGACCTGACCTCACCTGTCCCACCCAGATCCTCTACAACCGCACCATGGTCCAGCTGGGGGTGGGTGGGACTCACCTGGGCTGTTCACAACTCACCTGCCCAGGTGACCTGACCTCACCTGTCCCTCACCTGTCCCTCACCTGCCCCCCCCCAGATCCTCTACAACCGCACCATGGTCCAGCTGGGGGTGGGTGGGGATGGACACAACTCACCTGGGCTGGTCAGGAGTGGTTAAAACTTACCTGTCCCTTACCTGTTGCTCACCTGTTGCTCACCTGTCCCTCACCTGTCCCCCCCAGATCCTCTACAACCGCACCATGGTCCAGCTGGGGGTGGGCGGGGCTGCTCAAAACTCACCTGCCCAGGTGACCTGACCTCACCTGTCCCTCACCTGTCCCCCCCCAGATCCTCTACAACCGCACCATGGTCCAGCTGGGGGTGGGTGGGACTCACCTTTACTGGTCAGTGTGAGGTCACACCTGTTCAGGTGACCACGTGACACACCTGGGCTGCTCTAAGATGGTCAGAACTCACCTGTCCAGGTGACCTGACCTCACCTGTCCCTCACCTGTCCCTCACCTGTCCCCCCCCAGATCCTCTACAACCGCACCATGGTCCAGCTGGGGGTGGGTGGGGATGGACAGAACTCACCTGTCCAGGTGACCTGACCTCACCTGTCCCTCACCTGTCCCTCACCTGTCCCCCCCCAGATCCTCTACAACCGCACCATGGCCCAGCTGGGGGTGGGTGGGGATGGACAGAACTCACCTGTCCAGGTGACCTGACCTCACCTGTCCCTCACCTGTCCCTCACCTGTCCCCCCCCAGATCCTCTACAACCGCACCATGGCCCAGCTGGGGGTGGGTGGGGATGGACAGAACTCACCTGTCCAGGTGACCTGACCTCACCTGTCCCTCACCTGTCCCCCC